TTAATTTTAAATAAAAGACCAAATTTTGAAATTTTGAATTTCAAAATTCAAAAAATTAGGAAGCAGGATAACTTCCATATCTTTCTACCATTTTGTTCTTACTTCCATATCTTTTGCTTACACACCAAAAACATAAGAACTAGTGCCTCTTGCCTTAGAAGAAGTTAAGTTGATAAAAACAAGTAGACAATCTTCATCTCATCCCAATACTCAAAGAGTTAAAGTTTGTTCGGCCTACATTGTCTCGGGTTAGTATTTTGGTACTTAAAACTGTTGTTGAAATTAGTAAAAATTTTAAGGAATCTAGTGTGCTTGCCGATACATTTGAATAAGTGTGTATAGTGTTTTAGATGGTGAATTGATACATGAATTTGTTGTGTATCATAATATTTTATATGTATCTTGAAATTTTGAAAATTGTTATAATGTATCATTCAATAAGTTTAGTAAATGGTTCATCAACTGTGCTTGATGATACATATAGAATCAGTGTGTACAGTGTTTAGTCAATTCACTGATACATGTAGTAGATATGTATCACATGTTTTGCATATAGTATGAATTTCTGAAAACTGATATCATGTATCAGTAAGGTATTAGTTGTTTAGTTGATGTTCTGATACATGTTTTGAAAATTGTTATAATGTATCATTCACTAAGTTTAATAAATGCGTCATCAACTATACTTGATGATACATATAGAATCAGTGTGTATATTGTTTAGTTGATGTTTCTGATACATGTATTAGATACGAAATTGAATCTCCAACAACGATTCCGTCAATTTTGTAACTTTCATTCTGCAATTCGTTCACCCAAATTCCGGAATGTCTCATCAAAATCGAAGTATTCATCTTGAAAAATTCACTGTAACAACAATAAAATTACTGTACTTCGAAATTTAACAGATTGTTCAAAAAATTGTTTTCAAAATAGATGATATAATCTTTGTTTTTCAAAATTTGAAATTAATATCCAATTAAGTGCTGATTTTATGTTGATTAATGATATGTTACCGTAAATTTAGCTGTTTTATTAACAACATTAACTGTACCGTTTTTTCCCCTTTTTTTTCTCAACAGTTTAAAATTACCATGTATCATTTACCATGTATCACTAGAGTCTAAAGTATCACGGCTCAACAAATTTAAGGGATTTTTTGTAAATACTAAATTTGTCGGGACAGAATGAAATTATTGAATTACACTATAGGATTCCTTAAATTTTTACTATTTAAAGGTATTGACATTTTTGGGTTTGGAATCACAGGATTTTCCTGTTTATTTCATCGTAAATTCAAATTAATTGAAATAATTAAGTTGAAACATCAAATACTAAAAAAAATAATTATATTTTATCGATCGTGATTCAATATAATAGACTATTTATTAAGAAAAATAAAAAAAAATAGTCAATGTTTTTTCACATGCAAGCCGTAATTAGGTAAGAGGATCCAATAACTTTGACCGCAAGAAACGGTAGCATTAGTCAAATATCTTCATGCATGTGACAATATATTCCATTGAGAGGAAAGAATAAACATATTCATATCAAAAATATTTTTGATAAAAAAATGTATGTGAATATATTAGGTAAAATAAAATATACTTACGATTTAATTAGCATTAAAAATTTGTGTCAATATGTACATTTCTATGGATATAGTTGGGAGATAAATAGAAAAAAGAATCGAAAACTTTATTCTTCACCTCAATACAACAGTTTAATTGTCATGAATTATATTATCTTAAGTAGTCGATTAATAAGGTGTAAACAAGATTAGCTTTGATGATCTAGGAGTATTAGTAATATATATTGTGATTAGTAATGTTGAATTATTTCTTATCGTATTATATTAAATGTATATGATATGTCCGAATAAGAGTAATATTCAGTATTGTTAATATCATGATTCACTATGTATAAAAATAGCGTAAATATATAACTAATACAAATATTTATTGGACAGATTAAAATATTATCATATAAGAAATAAAATGAGTTAATATATATATATATATATATATATTATTTTCTTATGAGTTGTCAAAATTTCATAATTCTATGGTACATGAAGAAAGAAAAAAGGTCACGTGAAACCAATAAAAGAATAGTGATTATATGGTATCTATCTATCTGGAATATTAGTGAATGACCACTAACGAAAAGATTAACGAATCTTTATGATGGCCAAATATTAAAGAGAAAAAAAAAGTAGTGCACTTGAGCGAATAGGTTGAGACGGATTTAAAATTTAATTATATTATTTGATTATTGTTGAAAATTTTGATTTTCGATGATAAAATTTGTTGATAAATGGCTTGAAGGAAAATAACTTTTCATATTTATAATGGCTCATTAAAAATTTGCATTTTTGAGATGTTCATCCCTGGAATCATGCATTAATAACTTTTGTATTGGTAATACTATGAGTTGTTATTTCTATTAGTTTTACACAAAAAATTTGTCTTTAAATACACCAAAATATCAAATTAAATGGTTAACAAATGACAATCTGAGTATTATTATTCAATACTATTTTTATGCATCTTATCCAACTATCCTTAAAAATATAGTAAATTAACTCAGCAATCTCTAGGCATTTTTTAGTGCAACTCTTAATACTTATTCTGTCAAGAAAATAACATAATACAACTACTATCTATAACGGGTTAATTTAAAGTATAATAATATTGATTAATAGATAATCATTAAATGGGGATCATATGACATATGCCTATGGGATCACATTTAATGTAATTAATATCATACTCTTGAGGATATATTTATTTATTTTAGTAAGTAAAAAGTATTAATATTATCCTTTTCGATCCCAATAAGGTACATAGTAGTAATAAATAATGATTTTGGAACTCACAAGTTGATTGAGTTAAAAGAGTACTTACTGGTTGACTAATTATATTTCTTCAGGTTTCAAATATTAATCGTTGAATTTGTTTCAAAATATTTCACGTTTCAAGAATTTAAGAAACATCTTTTTTCCTTGAGATCTTCGATTAGTAGTGTTAATCAAGGATGGAGCTAGATAGGAATAGTGGTTCAATTGTTTGAGTTTTAGTCCCATGATATATTAAGAAAAAGTGTATTGTAGAGGCAAAGGGGATTCAAAAGGTCTTAGGTGTAACATTGTAGTGTTTATAAAATCATCTTGTATAGATTTTCGGCTTTGCTACTTGTATTGTTAATTAGAAGGGTGCTAGTGGCTGTTTAGCAATGAATATTTTTTACATTTTTCTAGAGTTGAATTCAAGAAATCATATTTGGGGTGCATACTATTCAAAGTAATGGAAGTGTTTTCACAATGTGAAAAATCACAAGTGTTTGCACAAATACAACATGAAGGGGTGAAATAAAAAGTTTCATCTACACTAGGCAAATGTGATCCAGGGCTCAGCCTGCATTGGATGTCTCAAGAGATGATTTTACACAACTTTGAAAATCAACTTCTTCAACAAAAGCAGCAAGATGCTGCTATGTGAATAATTATTTTTGTACATTTTACTTCACTAATCTAAATATACTTAACTTGAGTGAAGCTATTATACAGACCTTAGCCAACAGACACATTATCACTTCTTCTTCTTCTTTGATGTAGACGTCCCTTTTTTGGACTTCCTTTTGGTACTTGTATTACTCATGTTCTTGCTACACTCTGGGCAAAACCAGTCTTCCTCGGGTATACATTCAAGGGGAGGATCACAGCAATCTACATGCATGCCAATGCCACATCCAAGAGAGCCACTTTCGTCACCACAGATCAGCATTACTTCACCCCTGTCAGGCGACCCACACACCTGGCATGCAATATCATTACTACTGTCATCTGATGGCTCCATCTCCTCAACAATCTCTTCCAAACGATTGACATGTTTTTTCAGTGATCTTTCCGCCCAGGAATGAGTGTTGTATTGCACATAATTGCTGAGGGTATAACCAGGTTTGCACACATAAGTCACCAAGTAATCAGGCAACACACAAGGTATCTCATGCCTTAAGAATTCTTGAACCCACTTGTCACAGCGTGGCATGACCTCACTAACAATGGCAAAGTCAACACTTGACTCAAGGAATCGACTATAAGGAGGAGAAGTTGCTAATATAATGCCATCCCCTGCCTTAACTGCACGCTTCAATGTATCCTGATTCAACAAAAGAGAGCATATTATAACCTGTTAGAGATGCACACAAAGTGCAATCTGGATAAATTTATCAGTCTACAAATCAATTGCATGTGACATGGAACAAATTAACTTCCCACAGAAAATAATTCCACTGGAAATGTTTCATCTTAGGAAGTCACTTTCTAGATCATCTTCCAATTGTGATTGGGGATAAAAGTACATGACATATGATGCCGCTGGCCGCACAAGATGTTGGGTTTAATATTAAAATAGTGTTCTGGTGATAATTTTTTAGTACTAAAGAAAGACGTTCTACATGTTTAAGTAATATGAGTAAAATTTATGCTTTGTAAGAATAATGATAGAATTACGTTTTATAAAGAAAATTTACCTGCACCCAAATGCAAGTCATTTTCCCCTTCGGTGGAATATGCCATGTTAGGAGAAATTGTTTTTCCATAATACAAGGAAACCAACTACTAGAATATGATTTCATCAAAGAAGTTCCAGAAAATAGTTCTTCGTCATACAAAACACACCGTAAAAAGAGTTGATGGAAGAAAAAGAAATTCTTGCAAATAGGCAGCATAGGAACTCAAATCTTCAAAAACATATACAGCAAACAACAAGTTACCATACCAATGGTGGTACAATGCAGTCTCCATAAATGATTATCTTCATTCCATATAATGCGCCATGTCCAGTCCTCTCCCTCAGAAGTCGCCACTTTCTTGGGGCCTCTAAGTTGATTGCTAAGTCTTCAGTAAATCCCTTTTTGTGCCATTCATATGGCTCCTCATCTAATAATTTTCCAGCCTCAACAGAAGCAGTTAAATAATCTGTATTCAAGATCCACCTGTAAAAACAACAGATGATATGTTTTATTTGTGAGAATGGACATAACTTTACGGTTGAGTAGTTTTTTTTAAAACTGGTAACTTCTTTAGGGCTGTGTACTTGGTCAAACCTTCCAGAGGATGCAGCAGCAAAAAACTTCTCTGTTCTTCGTACTGGGGCAGGAACAATGAAATGCGTTGCCTGATATGACCACTGGTGAGAATCTCTGCACACTTTCCCTTTCAATCGCTTGATAACCTGCTGAAACTCCTTCCTTTGTAGCCGATGTCCACTAACTATAAACCACCTAGGCTCACTTTGTACTTCTGTAACCTTCAAGGAACGAGACTTTGTATCATAAGGAGAACTTCTGTCAGCTTCATGATCATTATGAATCGCATTCTGGAGTCCATTAACAGGCATATTCTCCTTCTCCACATCCATGGAGCTCTTCAATTGATTCTCAGTCGAAATTACTGAGGCTTTTCCAGTTTCAGATGGAGATCCTTTTCCTTTCTTTACTTCTACTTTGTTTCTATCAGTTCTGCACTTCTTCCTTTCTGCGCCTTCTACAGAAGCAGCAGCTCTTTTAGTAGCTAGATTAGTTTTCTTGGTATTCTTCTTCATGCATTTTGGACCTTCGGAAACATTCTCCTCTGAAGCTTTCCCCACAGAAGTTGACTTACTTAATTTGGTCTCCTTGCCAGAAGAAGTCTTTTGAGTTTCAAATTCATTGCTTTCAGTACTAAGAGCGCCTTCTACAGAAACAGCAGCTCTTTTAGTAGCTAGATTAGTTTTCTTGCTCTTCTTCTTCAGACATTTTGGACCTTCGGGAACTTTCTCCTCTGAAGCTTTCCCCACAGAAGTTGACTTACTTAACTTGGTCACCTTCCCAGAAGAAGTCTTTTGAGTTTCAAATTCATTGCTTACAGTACTAAGACTCTTTGCAATATCCTCCCTTTCATTTTTATTTACCACCTTGTTTGCATTTATTTTCTTCTCCGCAGATTGAAGCCCTGAATGTTGTGCTTCAGTACCAGTAGACTTCTCTCTTAGGACATTTAATTCTTCATCTTCTTGGTCCTCTGGAGCCTCAGTATCATCATTTAGGGATTCATTTGTTTTGGCAGATTCTTTTTCAGAATTCAAAAAATCATTTCTCTCGATCTCCTTGCTCGAATTAGCATTATCTGCAGGCAGAACCTCACCCTTTGTAGAGCTTAAGATATTTTGGTGTTCTGTCTCCTCTCTCCCTCCACTACTGGAAGCAGCTGAATCATTCGTCAGAACAGTCTTGTTAATGAGTAAAGAACCTTTCTGATTTCTGCCATCCCCTTTACCGAGACTTTGTCTAGATCCGAGTGTCTTCTTGGAAAGTGATCTTTTCTTCAATGTCTTAGACCCTGACACGGAATCATCTCCAGCTTTATTAAACTCAGCCAGCACATTAGACTTCAGGGTATCTCTTCTTTCATTAACTGGAGATGGGACATCATGCCGTTCATCCAGTGGCCCACTGACATCAACAGCAGCATGACTAGTCTCTTTCGACCCCACGATCATATAAGTGCTGCTTTGCGGGGCATCCTCATCATGCCCTTGCCCAGTGCTTAGTGTTGCAGGATTGGAAATGGTTGAATCATAATGTTGCATGGTTTCCAAAGCAACACCCTTGTCCAAGTGAGGGGCAGGGTTCCTAGACAATAGATGACTGCCCTTATGGCTTAGACTATGTAACTTTGACGAATTTATTAACTCTTCAGAACGATTTGCCGTCAAATAACCATCTGGTATGCTTTCAAAATTATTACCAGCCCTTGGTGAATTGAAGCTACTGTCTGAAATGCCCATATTCCTTTTCTCAGGCAGTTTACTGCTTTGACCCTTCCCAGAAAACGACAAATTCTTTGGAGTGTTTACACCTAACTCACTTTTTTCTAGTCCTTTCTGAGAGGAAAGGTTAAAGCAATCAAACCCTATACCTGCTTCAGTAGCGGCAGGACTTCCTGAATAACTCTTCATATGTTCAGAGGTCATTGGAGAACTGAATTTCCTTGGGAATTCTCTGGACAAACAAGAATGAGGAGACTTCCTGGCACTATTTGAAACAGAAACCAAATCACTTCCATTTTGTTGCATGCTAGATGGTGGCTCTTCTTTTGTTCTATAGAAGTTGGAATTAAGCATTTCATCATGCCTATTCGGAGATTCTTCAAAAGCTGGAACCTGGTCAGATTTTGACTGCTTTGAAGCAGATAATGACAGCTCTTTTCTGTTCCCAAGACCTGACGAGCCTCTAGATGTGTTTAAGCCTGAAATGTTTGTAGAGGCTTCCTGCTTCACAAAGAATTGATTAGGACTTTTGGGATTTTCAGGACCCATGATAGCTATTGTTTCTGCAGACCTATTTGCAGCAATGCCCTCATTTTCATCTTCAGAATCTTTGGCTTCAGCTTCCATCATCTCCAACTCATACCCACTAAGGCCAGAAAAAGAAAACATGAGCACACTATTATTTGCTGTTAATTCATTTAACAAGAAAGCCCCATAAGAGGGGTAAGTCTAAACATACTATGCCTGAGCTAAACAAAATTAGCTCTTGCTTAATAGCAAGTGAGTAAAATCACTTTATTGCTTTTTACTCTTTTTCTCGTTGTCCGCAGCATAATTTGATTTTGAGGTTGAACTTGTTTAGAACAACGTCAGAAGCTACCACAACTCTAAATAAAATAAAATGAGTGCATTAGGCATTAAATTGACAGATCCAAAAAGGGCTGGGCAGGTACTTAGAAACCTCTAGCGAGGTCTAATTTCATATAACTTAAGCACATAGAAGTATGCATTTGCAACTGGATCACATGAAAATGTTTCTCATTTAACAATTTCAATACACCCTTTAACACTTTCACCTTCTAATTAAACAGGCCTCCATAATATCTCAATGTTCAACTTCATATGTTTCAGATTCTGCAATATAAAGGCAACCTAGTAGGAGTATTATAACTATTCAGTACCAAGTAAAACAAAATACAGCAGAAACAATGAAGCTACTTCAAATTAAAAGGCAGGAAATGGCAATGACGCACCTCTTATCATACTCTGCTTCTGAAAGGATTTCCCAAGACTTTAAACTGCATACGAAATCATGAAATGAAACTTTGCATAATAGCAGGTTAAGATTAGAAATATCTGTAACTGACAAAATAAAGCTCGTGCATACCAATCCTCCAACCACTGGTGATTAACAAGCTTAATCGTCTTCATTTTCTTGGCAAGTTCATATTTCTCCCCTATCAAATGTAATGACCTCAATTAGCACTGATACACAGTTGTATATACATATCACAACAGACATGTTAAAGAGTGAAAATCAAATGGTTTTTGGGGTAGTTTTCTTCCTTATCTTTGTTCAATGAGAAAAGAGAATTTAAGACATAAGTAGTATGACAGACTGATTTATCAAAGGTCATGGAAATCGACAGACTGCTTAACGAACATGTCATTGAGGCTCATTCATTAAGCCTCAATGCCCTAAACATATGACATATCACATAGTAAATCATCAAAGAAAAGAAAGAGAATCAAATGAAAAAATTAGCTCATACTGTATCACAGTCCTCTTTTTCATAATACTTGCTTCATCCTATATCATGAGATGGTGTTTAACTTGATAGGAAATCTAATGAGTAATTTAACTTATTTATTATATTAGCAAAGAAGGAAAACAAAAGTAGTGGTAGAAAAGTTATACGATAGAGAAATATCAATGAATTTAAATTTTGAAAGTTTTATAAAAATGGAAATGTATCAATGTTTTTGGGAGGTCCTGAAAAGGGAAAGTACCACATAAATTGACACGGACAGAATATTTCAATTTCCTTGTCATTATTCTCTCAAATTGTTGAATAGGATGTAGTTCACGAATGTAGTTCAGATGAGGATGCTCACATGGACGTGTGGGCATACTAGGACAGATATGATTAGGAATGAAGTAATACGTGATAAGATGGGAGTGACATATGTGGCAGACAAGATGAAGGAGGCAGGGAAGGTTCGGGCATGTGAAGAGGTGTGCGGATACGCTAGCAAGGAACTGTGAGGGGATGGCTATAGAAGAAGTTGGGAGAGGTAAAGGTGGGCCGGAGAAGAAATGAAGGGGGATGATTAGACAAGACATGGAACAATTTCAATTTACCAAAGACATGACCATAGGAAGGTATGCAGGTCGAGGAATAGAGTAGAAGATTAGTAAGTAGTTGAGTGGTGTTGCACTTTCTGTGGGATAGGCAAGGGGCTAGCCGACTCTGAACTTGCCCACATTAGTAATATTGTATAGTATTCATATTATTTTCTCCTTGCATCCATGCTTCAAAAGAAAGTTCTCTTTATTTTCTCAATTTTCCCTTTCTTCTCTTCTCTTGTGTGTTGAGGCCTGAGGGTCTTTAGAAAACAGTCTCTCACTCTCTCTGCCCCACAAAGGCAGTGGTAAGATTTGCATACATCCTACTCAAACCCCACTTGTAGTACACTGGTATGTTGTTGAAGTAATGGTTTTACGTTTATAATGAATCAACATTGTTCTAAAATCACAGCATATTGTTTCAAAGTTGTATATTAGTACTACTTTAATGACTTCCTCTTTTTTCTTCTTTAAATGCTTATAAGGTAACAGCAATACTCATTTTTGCAACTGCAGACAATATCTTAGATTACATGCTATTGTACCCTGATCTTCAGTTTGCTTTGAACTACCCATGTCAGATACACATACTCAACATTTCTCCCCAGGTCAAGCCTTCTACATATTATAATTTAAACGTAAATTCAATCATAAATTAAGGCAAGAAATGATATGGGAGGGAAAAAATTAGCCAGCAGCAGCACATCATAATGAATCATCAACATAAAGGACATTTGTGCAAAAACACCTGAAACTCCCATTCACCGCCTCTAGGATTAAGCATTTAATAAAGCAAAACAAGAAATTAGGAGAGATATAGTACAACCAGCGATAGCAACTGCTGGAAAGGGGATAGTTACCCTCAAATTTGTAGCATATGAGATGAGTGACTTTGTTTGCCACCAACGGCTTTGAAAAGTTTGCACCCATCAATCCCACCATTGTCTAGAACAAAGAGCCAAACATGTGACAAGCAACTGTTAGATTCTCCTCATCAGAAAATATTTAACTTCTTTGAAAAGTAAAAGAATTGATGAACAACAAACTGCATTTTACAAACCATAATATCATCTCGATCTTGCCGTTGATACCCAGTTAAGCAGACTATCAGTGATTTAGCACCTGGAATTCCATTCAAATTTCTTGGAGGTCTATACATGACCTGTAAGAAGTGGTGAATCTATTGAGTTTTGATTTAAGGGAAAAATCAATTATCCTTACAGGTCTATGGAAAGTTGACATAGAATTCTTAAGGGAGCAATGGAACAGATAGAAAACAACAGATAGATTCACATGACCACCAAAAACCCAAAATCATGGCCCTTCAAAATTTCAATAGAATTCCCTAAGCTCAATATGAGATAAAAAAAAATACAGGCTACTGAACTTACTGCATTATTGACTGTCTAATAGCAATATTGCAGAGCAAAAGCCTTTAAAACTGAATAGCCACTGACAAAATGGACTCATAAACACATAATATTAAAGATCCTTTCATGCACCAAAGTGGTATTATAAACTAATGCAAATACTTCCCAAGAGATATGTCCTATCCACTATATCATAAAATTATATGTCAATAAAGACATTCATTGTAGCCATTACTGTTTAAGCAACCACAGCTGGAAGAAGGACCAATCAACTAAGCATAACTGTAAGCCAGCAGACTGTATTTTCCAACAAATAAAAGACAAATTTCCAGAGGAACTCACAGAATGGTGATCGACAGGCATTCCCAAATCAAAACTGTGTGCAACCCACAAGCTGGTAACAACTATTTTTCCAACCCGTCGAGCAGAAACACATATGGGGTCATCCTGTTTCCAGAAAGCACTATGTTAAACCCTAGTTATAATTGTGAGGAATGCCGTTTGCGTTGCGTACAAAAAAAGGGATAAGAAATCAAGCAGCAAGAGATGCAAAAGAAAGTCGCCCTGAAAATCAGAAAAGGACAATTATGTTCACCACACTCACGTAGATAATACTATCAACAATAAGATGGGTGCAATCAGGTCCATATTTGCCTGCATCAACTCCGCCACCCTCCACCAGCTTGGATTGAATCTAGAAAAGGAAAAAAAGGTAAAAAAATTTATAGTAGAACAATGACAGCAACCATCAAAAAGATAAAAATTTCCACGCACATAAAAACAATTACAACTACACCATAACAATTGAACATGGAAATGAAAAAAATCAATCATAACTACTCCATTTAAAGAACATAACACTTGAACTTGAAACAAATAAATCATTCAACTGGCTTTGCATCAACAACATGAAATCTCACAATTCAAAACATTGTATCCTCATCTTTAATCTTGGCTTGAGACCGACTCTACTCTCCTCAGCTCACATGGCCATAATTAACTTGGAAAAAAGTACAATTAAATCAATCAACTCTGCCTCAAACTTAATCTAGTTAGAGTGTGACAGTACAAATACTTCGTATCCATTTTGCTATTGATCATTTCTACCGACAATGCTCGCATATAACTTGAAAAAAATACAATTTTTTTGAGGAAGAAAATTAAACAAGGGGTTACCTGTTCCTTTCTATGGGGGTCGAATCCAATTAGAACAAAACGAACACCAACGAAAATCTTGGAGCTGTCTTCGTACAACATATCTTGAGTCAATGGAACAATTTTTTCATGGAAGAAGCAACACGAAAAAATTAATATGAACCCTAGAAATTTGTTGAATTTCACAAAGCTTCTCGAGCAAGGAGTGGACAAATTATTGGAGGGATTTTGTATTTTTTAATTTTTTTATTTTGGCGCACTTATTACTGGGCCTCAAATAAAACACACAGTTGGGCTTTGAAAGCCCATCTCCATTTCTTTCCCACGTTTTATCCTTTAAATGGATCATTCGAACAAATGCCCTTATTTTTTGGTGATTTTATTTTGGTATAATACATATATTGGATCCTAAATTTGATTTTAAATTTTAAATTTGACCTCAAACTTTCATAGTATACAAATAGACACTTTAACTATCCTATTTTTCAATAAATAAACACTCCATTCCTACCTGGCGAAATTCGTGAAATGTACGCATTCTGCGCGAGTGAAAAGTAATTTTCGAGGTCCACAACGATTAAAAAATGTTAAAATGACGATTCTACCCTTAATAATTCTGTTTTATATTAATTAAAATTAATTTTAATTTCTTTTAGTTTCAAAATGATGTGTAAGATATTTTTTTTAAAAAAAAGACGTGTAAAATGTTTAATAGTTGGCAGTCACTGATTCACTCACTAATACACGTGGCAGCGTTTGCATTTCACGCACTTTGGCTCCGAAAAACACGTATTTATTTATTAAAAGATAGGATAGTTAAAGTGCCTATTTGTGCACTATGAAAGTTTGAGGTCAAAGTTAAAATTTGAGCCAAGTTTAGGGTCTAATATATGTATTATGCCTTTTATTTTTTACCCTCTAACGCAAAGTTATGTTCTAAAACGCATAAAAAGTTATGTCCCTATACGATAATGACAAAGAGTTCAAATTGGAAATCTCACAAGTTATGTAAACGATATAATTTAGTTCCCATAGAATAATATATGCCAAGCGAGAGAAAATTTGGTTTAGAAAATTAGGTTAGCAAGGAAAAATTAGGTTAAACTTACATCTAATGAATCTAGGTCTAGGTCTTCGGTCCACAATATCAAGGACCAAATTAAAGATCATATTTGAGGACAAATATTGAAGACCATCCCAAAATGGAGGGGAATCATACAATGAGCTTAATTGTTATATGAGAAATCATACTAAGAGTCTGTTTGGCTCAGCTTAAAAGCTGGTCAAACTGACTTAAAAGCTGGTTTTTGACTTATTTAACTGTTTGACAATACTCAAAATAACTTATTTTAAGTTAAAAAAAACTTATTTTAAGCCAAAAATTAAAAACTGGAATAGGGCTGCTTTTTCTTTTTTAGCTTATAAGCTGTTTTAAGTTGACCACATTTTTATTTTTTTGCCCTTAATATTTTTATACAATCTTCAAATGACCCACATAACTCTAACATCTCTTTCTTTCATTTTTCCCTTTTCACGTTTGGCATAGCAACTTCATCACTTTTATCCAAACACATAACTGCTTATTTTAAAAATAAGTTTCAGCACTTTTAAAAGTACTTTTTTAAAGCTGCTTTTATTAAGCCCATCCAAACGGACCCTAAAATAAGTACATCCCCATACGAAATTCTGCATTGTAACAGTATTATATCTTAAACTTGAAAGTATGCCTATGGGCGACTAACTATTTACATTGAGGCTGAGCCCAATCACTCTCAATCCCTTCGTTTGATGCACGGCATAACAAATCACAGCAATTGATAGGAATGGCAACTCGATACACTAAGTTCTCACTATGTGAGGAGTCCGAAAAAAGAGCCAGACTGCAAGGGTCTATTTGTATGCATTCTCACCCTCATATGGCGACAACTTTATCAGTTCCACCAAGATTCCCTAATTGAACAACCTGTAAATGCATAGAACAGCAATTAGACAAATGTTTCTGCCCATTCGTGAAAGTGAAAAAACGATCTCCCATTTCTCTCCACTTTGTACGAATGAAGTGCTAAAACAGGGAGTAGTGCAGATTATTTAGAGTATCAAACTGATGCAAGACCTGCATGTATACTTATCCAAAAGGCATAATACATAAACATGCACTCAAAATTCTATCTCAGTTGGTCAAGAAACACTCCAACTTTGCGTATGCACATCCAGACACCTCTACTTGTCTCCATTGTGTCAGTTGAACACTCCAACTTACAAAATGATCATCTAGACACCTCCAAAGGTCACGTCAGCCTTGGGTCTCCACAAGATACAGTGAGAACAAGTTGGGAGTGTATAGTTCCTAGCTCAAACAAAGTTGAAGTATCTAGACGTGCACTCTCAAATTTTGAGTGTTTATTTGCCAGCTAATGCCAAACTTGAGTCTCCTTGGCAACTCAAAAGGAGAAGGCAAGTATTCACATCCAGCAAACCACAAACCATTAACAGCTCCCAGCAAACAACATTAACAAACAGATACAAAATCCCTTTTTTATATCATTAACTCCAGGAACTTTTAGCACACAATTGCACCAAGAAGCCACAAATATTACACGCTTTCCTCAATTAATATGTGATCAAGACGACATTTAAACACTATTGCTATCCAAATGACTTTTCACATATTGGGATTGAGGGAGCAGCTAAAAACCAGCCATCAGATAGAACCTGAATTTTGATTTTACAGATCAGGGCATCATTGGCAAAGTATTATATAAGCACAGGATCATTTTGCAGCAAAAAATTGGCTAAGACAGCTGATGCTACCACCTTGGCAAAGTATTATATAAGCACAGGATCATTTTGCAGCAAAAAATTGGCCAAGACAGCTGATGCTACCACCTAGTGTAAGTGCAACAAATATCATCTTGAATGTTTGACCGACATTTTGCTCATTTTTCTCGTGAAAAATCAGAGGGATAACTTTACCATTGCAGGCTGTTGTTTAATAAGGGAACGATGAATAATTGTCAAGTCAGGATCATCCTTGTGCTTGTCCCAAGCGGTTTTGAACTGCGAGCCCTTGGATCTTGACAATGAGGGGAAAATATTAAGAAATTGAAGAACTCAATAATTAGAGAGAAACTACAACAAGACAAAAAAAGCCATATCACATGAAGGAAGAGAAAACAGAAGTAACAGAGCATGATATATACTGTTGGATCAAAATTATAGTCTGAAGAACAAGTTTTCTGATTTCTTCACGTGCAATTTTCAGCGCTGCTTCCTTGAATAGACTAACAAGTTCATCCACCAACCTGCATCACACCGACCAATACAATTTAAAGAAGCAAGACAAGAGCATGTAGGAAGGTTCTAGTTTAACGCTAGGGATGTTAATCCATCATCAGTTAAGATGATTTAACTGTTGAAAAAAGGGGTCCTCAGTTCAGATGCAAAACTGGAATTCAGGAACGAAAAAATACACTACTGGATTTATTTGCAACTTTTAGCGTAATCCATTCTTCACATTAACAGCAGATATAAGTAAAATTCAGGGTGACTCCTAATATTCCTTCGTAAATAACCTTTCAATGTATGGAGAATTCCTTATCCATGTCAACTTTACAATTGTCTTGATCCGTTCAAGAACCTGAAATAAAAATGAAGTATCAAGTGAGCTGCTAGCGGTGATCTTCAAGCACAAAATCTTGTATAAGAAAAATTTTAAATGCAAAAGACGCTTTACTCATATATACTTTAACAAGAAGTCTGTTGATGCAACTAAATTATAGTACTTAATCAGGCGATAGAAAGTGAAACTAGAGGAGAAAGGAATTCAGCAAAAATGTGGTTTATGTAGGAGTTCATAAAAAGGTAGCAAGGCTGACCAGCTCAAAAGAATTCCATAACCTCTTACCAGTAGAACAGTTCTGTCATCATCTGCATGCATCCACCGGAAGAAGAGGGGGAAAAGTCGCCTGAAATGAGATAGCAGTATAAGACCAAGACCATTAAACAGTGGCTCAATATGTTGTAGCCATGCAACACGTCGCTCCTTGTTTCTTGGTTGCCTTTCTAGGTGACTCAGCATCTCATTCAACATTTTTTCATACCTGTGTCACAATATTGTAGATAGGTAAGCACATACTTGAAGCATAACATATTGGAAATACTAATTCCAGAGGACATGTGACATGTCAGTACACAAAGGTACAGATAACTATTTAATGTATATGACATCACCATAAACTTCAAAAGACAACTAAATAGGGATTTGCTGCATCACTAGTCTCCAAACAAAGAAGAAATTTTATTCAGATATCAGTTGGCTAAAAAGAACAGCAATTATGATGCCAAAACAACAACTTGAAAATCTGGCTTCCAAATTAATTACTAAAAAAAAAAAGTTGTAAATTTGACAATGAAAGACTGTACCCTAGAGTTCACTTCAATGAGTAACACAGAGATAATCCTGTCCCCTCCCCCACCCACCCCAAAGAAAATAAGGTCAAATTTCCACTTAATACTTGTGCAAGCCAAAACATTGAAAGTATCCAACTGTTTATTGGGTGCACAAAAATTTTATAGGACGGTTCCTTCTGCATTTTTTTTTTGACAAAGGTAAAAATGACGGTTCCTTCTGCATTACCATCCGGACATCATTCTTTTGAAGGATTTCTGTTAAGAATTAGGCCATTTCCCCAGTGAATTTATGAGTTGCATACCATTTTAAATCATGCATACATGTTGGGAAAATTTATCCAAGATTCAATATATAACATAAAGTGATATAGAAGTCACTCTACCATATGCTTCGAGGATTACTTTTCTGGGTGAAGGTCACCATAAGTACAGATATTTGAACCACATGCTCCCATATCTCATCATCAGAAGCAATATTTTGACAGCAAGCATCAAGAATTACATCTTCATACCAACCAATCTCAGCCGCATTGACATTTTTCGCCAGATATATTAAGCTAATCATGCCCTGTCCCTGAAGTAAGAGACAACATTTAGTCAACAACCTAATGAAAGCAAAAATATTAATCTTAATCATGAGATGCAAATGTGTAGCAGACAATTACCACTTGCTAGTAACAATTTGACATACCATTTTAAGCTTGAAGATGGATTACATCATGCTCCAAACGACTAAGCCAGAAAGGTAATTACTAAGAAGAAGAAGAAGAAGAAAAATGACTAAAAAGGAAAGATAAACTGAGAGAGGTACAATCAACATTATTGCAGTCAGAAGTCTCTAATAGAGTATCCACGGACAAGCTTTAGAAAAGAAACTGAAACATGATCTTTGATGTTCTTTTTGTTGTCATCAGTTGCTAAGAGCTCAGAAATGTGCCAAATAGTAGAAGCACTTACAAGTTTAGTACTAGCTAGCTAATACTTGATTTATAGTGATTTAGGAAAAGTGGGATCACCAATTAGAATATCTAATTATCTAACTCGTTCACAGTATTGATGGATCACTGCAAGAATCAACAGTTTTACACTATTTAGAGGGTTTTAACTATTTTAAGGTTATATAGGACTATCAGCATAGTTTGAAGCACCGATCAACAAGTACGTGAGATATCTGATTGAAACAGCAACAAATTTCTAAGACCTGCAAACATACAACGACAAATGCACCTTTACTTCAGACGACCAGTGATCAAGAGCTGTTAGGGCACATGGAATCACCCAAGAGCACACTTTTCCAAGGTGAGGATAATCCACCTACAAATGATAAATATAGAAGGATATAATACATTTCATCTCAATAGAATTCCAACCACCAACTGAAGAAATTAATCATACAAATAAATCTTTCAAGTACCAATTAAGGATATACATACCTGAGAAATGAGCCATCTAAACTGATAAGCAGCAATAATGGCATATGCTACAGGAACACTAGCGCTTGCAGCTGATATCTCATGACCATCAATTGATTTATCAATGGCACTCTCTTTAATCGTGTCTTTTAGCAAAGGCAAGAGTTGAGGGATTAAGTGTATGGCCAAGATTTTATCATTTGGGAGAGGCTTAAAATCAAGATCCAGCTCGCCAAATTTGATCAGGTCATGATTCCCAGCAGCCATGGTAGCATAAGCTTTAGATAGGTCTTTGAAGGCAGAGGCAGCAGCAAGAGATAGCGAATTGGGAACCCAAAAGAGTTGCTTGTAGGTGGATTTGGCAGCAGACGCCAATGCAGCACAGCATAAGCTAAAATCCCTTATTTCGAGTTGGGAGTCGGAAAGAAGAGACAGTAGCATGGATTTGATAGAGACACTTGAACCCTCTGGAGGAGTATAAGGTGCCTTGGAGAGTGATTCACTTATTGGCCTTGATAATCTATTACATACAGTTTTTAAACAAATTATTACTCACACTCAGTACATGGTACGTATTAAAACAAGCAGAAAGAATGATCTTACAGAAGCAGCTCCTCATTGAGAGACTTCAACATCCTTCCCTTCTCTCTGCTAATTGCTACAGTTTCCAAACCAGACAATCTGTCCATTTTTTTTACTTACATAAGTTTCACAAGCTGTTTGTCCAACCAACTTTCTTACTACCTTGAATCAAGATCTTAAGACAAAGAACAAGAGACAAGGGATTGAAACATCACTGGATGTTCAATCCTTTGTCAAACTTAAATGTGAGTTGTCTCCTCTTTACATAACTCATCTAAAAGCCAATTAACCTTAAGCAAATCACAAATCATCCTGACTCGCAGAAAAGATCACATGCAGGGGATGAAAAGCTAAAACCCATATAACTCAGTCAAGAACTCAAATCATTTGGATTCAAACAAAGCGAACACGCTAATATATATCTGAATTTAAATGGAGAAATGCTGTAAAGGGAAGGGGACATGAGTAATTGAATGTAAATAGAATTATACAGTGTTATCAAAACCAGAAAAGCTCTAAGATTCTTTGAGGCTTTAAGCGCAAATAAAACATGGGATTTAATGAAAAAGGCACAAAGGGAGAAAAAATACAAATATATATATGTTTAGTCCCAGATTAATAATAATTGTAAGCATGAATATAATACATATTATGAACAAAGAAATTGAAGAAAAAAAATCCTATAAAGGGAAATATCAATTGTACAGTGTCCTCATTGGCAAGGAAAACTACGTCTTACAATCTTGATGATGACTCAGAAGTGCACATTAAGCAACGCGTTCTGAACCCCACTCCGGGGTTTAAGTGTGCCTTTGACAACACTGATTATAGACACTCTCATTTTCCGGAACAAAAAAACTCTCAGGCCCAAATGACTAATTTAACTTTCCATTAAGTAACTGAATTTTTTTATGGAAAAGTTCTGCATTCAATTCATGTTTCCTCAAGATTAAATACAACCAATTCACTGATTTAGCCTGTATCAAAATTCACCCACAGTCGCATAAGAATGAATGACCAACTTAAAATAAGCAAATGATGAAGAATGAATCAATAAATTAGAACAAAACAAAGTATAGAAAAAGACTTACAATGCTAGAAGGGATCATCGGCGCTCAAAGTTCACAAAACACGAGAAAAGGGTATGGGATTGTGTTTGGTTTTGATACATCTCACAGATAAATAAAAATTTAATTATTATAACCTTAATTAATTTCAAAGTCCTAAATATTAAGTAGGATAATAACTAAATGACAATTATTTGAGGAAAATAGTAAATGACAATTTTATCTTTTGTAAAGCATTTTAATGAAGAGTCAAAAGTTCAATCAACATTGTGCAGGTCAGCTTACGGGAATGAAGGACTATTGTCAGTGTGGGTGGAGCCACTAGATCCTACAACAGCGATCTTCAAACTGATAAATCAACCTTTCACTTATCATATGGGATATCATCCACATGAGGACCATAAGACGGCATTCTAAGGCTATATAAAGTCCATATCCTAGAAATGAACTATCTTGCTTAACATAGCTATTTGAAGAAAACTAATTTTTAAGCTCAACTATTTCCACAGGATAGCTATAACCTCTAAACAGAACAGCAGGTACATTATAACTCTATCCATCAAAGGCTAGTACATAAGTAGATGTGGGAAAAAATCACCAAGTGTTTCTATGTCAACTGAAATTTCATCATGGTTCTCATCGACCACTGGGCTCGCCACTAAGTGTTTTTCTCATGCCTCAAATTCTTGCCCACACAGTCACATAAAAGGATTACAGAATGTAAAACACTTGATTTAGTACTCATCATCATCATGTAATTCATAAGAAGTATTGAAAGAAACAGATTTCCTAGCTTATCGAATTTAACAACTGAGCATAAAAATACTGGGAAAATGAGGAAATTTACCTCTTGTTGATCAGCGTAAACTGGCGCCGGGACGAATTGAGTTGAGAATCTACGTGCGCTTCACCGACGAATGGACTATTCCGTTTTGGCCGCCGGACAACTCCGACGAGAAAAAAAATAAAGAAACAAAATTAGATTTCGGAGAAAATTTGTTGGGCCTCAAAATGAAACATACTATTGGGCTTCAAAATGTTAACATATTGTTGGGCCTTAATGATACATATTTCATAGGGAAAATAACTTGTGTCTACTTTTTAAAAAATAATTACCATATTTGTCAGTATTATTTTTTTAACCATAAATGTCAATTTAATTGAATATTCAACTTCATATTTTTTCTCTCGCCCCAAAATTTTCCCACGCTCGCAATTGCAATTTTTTTCTCTCTCGCGACTGCAATTTTTTCTCTCTCGTGATTGCAATTTTTTTTCGACGACTTCAATTTTCTCTCGCCATTGCAATTTAAAGGTTAGTGTTGAGTAAGATCTGTTAGTTTAGGTTACTTGCACTGCATTCTGCTATTTTTGTTGGTCTCCATTGCACTTAACTGATCCTTTAATGTGAGCTTGCAATTGTGGTATTGACAGTGCCCAGATCGTTACGCCTTTCTTCTTTTTGTGTGGATTTATGTTGAGATTTCGTTTGATTTATGTTTACGTTACTTGTGTGCCTTTTTGTTTGATGATTTATGTTGAGATTTCGTTTGATTCAAGTTCCTGTGAGTGTCTGGTATTCAGTTCTCTTCTCTAATAAGTATGATCTCTTGTTAGCATCTGTGTAATACAACTTTAATTCAGGTTTAATTCACTTTTTAGCATTTGTGTAATACAACTTCAATTCAGTTTTAGTTCACTTGTTAGCATCCGTGTAATACAATTTTAATTCCGATTTAATTCACTTGTTAACATCTCTGTAATACAACTTTAATTCAAGTTTAATTCACTTGTTAGCATCTGTGTAATAACAACTTCAATTCAGTTTTAGTTCACTTGTTAGCATTGTGTAATACAATTTTAATTCATGTTTAATTCACTTGTTAGCATTTGTGTAATACAGATTTAATTCATGTTTAATTCACTTGTTAGCATTTGTGTAATACAACTTTAATTCAGTTTTAGTTCACTTGTTAGCATCCGTGTAATACAACTTTAATTCAAGGTTTAATTCACTTGTTAACATCTGTGTAATACAACTTTAATTCAAGTTTCACTTTTTAGCATCTGTGTAATTCAACTTCAATTCAGGTTTAGTTCACTTGTTAGCATCTGTGTATTACAACTTTAATTCAGGTTTAATTACTTGTTAGCATATGTGTAATTCAACTTCAATTCAGTTTTGGTTCACTTGTTAGCATCTGTGTAATACAACTTCTTTTCATGTTTTATTCACTTGTTAGTATTTGTGTGATAAATTTTTAATTTGGATTTTATTAAGATTTAGTTCAGTTGTTAGCAAAGTGATGCTCTTCTAGCAGATTAATCTATATGTCTCTCTCTAGTCTTTTAATAATAGTAATACACTCTTTAATGATGTGCAGAATAAATATGACTAATATAGCGGTGATGCTTTACTTCAATGGACGATGGGATCCTAGCAACAAATATATTAACTACTTGGCAGATGGTGTGTTGATACACACAGAGTCAACGTTTGCCACCCTCGTTTCTGTAATTGCTACTCAATTGTCAATAGACACATCAACAAGTAAAGTTGAAATTAGATATAAAATTGATGAAAGGTCTCCTCTAATTCAAATTCATAATGATATAGGGGTAAAGGTATATCTTGAAACTAAAAAGGAACATCGAGATATGACAAGATACCCTTTATGTGTCACAACAACTGAACCAGTCAACTTGGAGACTGATGCTGCACTCATTCCACTTTTGTGTTCAGACACTTCAGGAGATATGAGGGTTATACACAATTCATACTTCTCTAATACATTTAATGGTATTGATGAAACAATAGGGTTAATTGGATTCGGATCATGTGAGGAAGTTGATGAGCTAGAAGAATTAGCACCAGGCATCATTATTAATCCCAATCACTCTTTATTTGAAAAAGATCAGGTGTATAAGAATAAATATGTCCTTACTAGTGCACTAAAAAGACATTCCATTCTTAATCATTTTCAATTCAAGACAACAAGATCAAGCGCAATAAGGTAAGACCTAAATTCAAGTCACTTTAAATTATTAATTCTGTATTAATATTTTTTCTACAGCTATTCGATACAGTGCCTAGGAGAAAGCTGCAGTTGGAGCTTACCAGCTTCAAGCTTGAACATATCTGAAATGTTCAAGATTAGAGAATTTGAAAGCGAACACACTTGTTTGTTGCTACATAATTCATTATCGGAAAGGCTAGCTACTAAGAGTGTTGTTGGGAGTATTATTGTGGGTAAATATGCTAAACCAGATGTTAATTACACACCAAAAGACATACAACGTGACATGTTAGCTGAATATGGTGTGCGACTCCCATATATGCAAGCTTAGAGAGCTAAAGAAGCAGCTCTTGAATTAATCTGGAGTGATCCAATTCAATCATATGTAAAGTTGCCAAGATACTTTCACATACTAGAGGCGACTTACCCTGGTTCTCATATAAGATTTCACAAATCAGTTCACCTCGATAAAAGGATGGGAATATTGTAGACCAATTGTAGTTGTTGATGGAACTTTCTTAAAAGGAGCATACAAAGGGACACTGTTAACCGCTAATACCTTAGATGCAACAGATCAGACTTTCGAATATGATACTGTTTTCTATATTGAATTTTTGAACTATGTATTAAAATTGAATTATGATTGCAGTAAAAATATATTGAAATTGAATTAAAAAAAGTGTACATGGTGCAGGGTGTATATTGCCACTTGCTTATGCTATTGTCGATTCAGAGAATAATTCATCTTGGAGGTAGTTTTTTGAGCAATTCAAAGATGCATTCGGTCAAAGACCAGAGAAGTGTATCGTTTTCGATAGGCATGCAAGCATTATTAAGGCAGTTTCAACAGTTTATGATGAAGTACCTCATTTTGCATGTATGTGGCACTTACTGCAAAACATAATGAGAAATTTCAGAAGAAGTCAACAAAGGGTCACTGAGTTGTTCTACTCTATGGCAAAAACATACACCATGACAGAATTTAATCAATGTATGACAATGGTTGAGAAGATAGATAAGAGGATCAAAGATTACTTGTTGAACATTAGATACAACAAATGGTCGCGTGTGCATGCTGAAGTAAACAGAACTTGGATGATGACAACAAATATAGCAGAATCAGTCAATTCACGAACAAGACATGCCAAAGTTCTTACAGTCTTGCAACTCTTGGAATTCATGAGACAACTTGTACAGAAATGGAATAACAATAACAGATCAAAGGCGACATTTTCAGGTTTTCACCTTGGAAAAAAGTATGAAAATATATTGCGGCGCAATAAAACTGCATTAGAGAAATTAAAAGGTATGCCTAATCTGTTTGCTAGTATTTTTTCTTCGGATTCATATCTAACATCTCTCTTGAATATATTTTTTTTCATAGGTTGTAGAGACAAATAAATATGTGTATACCGTAATTGATGGTATTACACAATTCACAGTATGTCTTCACCAACGTACATGCACATGTGGGAGATTTCAATTGGATGAGTTACCATGTCCACATGCTTTGGCCGTTTTAACAATAAAACACACTGGTTATGAGAAATATTGTTCGGCTTACTATACAAGAAAAAATTTATTGTTGACATATCAATTTCAAATGGATCCCCTGCCAAATGAAAGTACATGGAACACAGCAACACATGTTCTTGAAAATGTTGTACTTCCACCTCATGGAAAGAGACCTCCGGGAAGGCCAAAAAATAAAAGACATACTCACTGAGAGAAGATGGATTCAAGAAGGCGAAAATTACATGCAGCAATTGTGGACAATATGATCACAACAAGAAGACTTGCAAAAATGTCAGGCCTTATGATCAAGAATAAAAAAATAATTTGTTTTATTAGTTTGTTTTAGAAGCTCATTGACTCTACGAATTTGGATCATGTTCGGTTATATGGTTTATATTCTTAGTTCTGCATTCTCGTGTTATTCAGTTTAATAGAATGCTTTCTTAGTTGTGCAATCTCATGTTATTCAGTTTACTAGAATGTTTCTATGTGTATAGTTATATTTTATATGATATATAGATGAAATGATATAGTTTACTAGAATAACCTAGTTGAGCTTGAGGCTTGGAAATGTCTTGCTGAGTGTATTTGTCAGGTTGGGAAATTTGGGTGATGCTTGATATGTTTTTGGTTTGTTAGTATTTTTGTAATATAACTTTAATTCAAAGTTTAATTCACTTGTTAGTATTTCTATAATACAACTTTAGCTTAGGTTTAATTCAATTGTTACCATTTGTGTAATATAGATTTAATTCAAGTTTAATTCAGGTTTAATTCACTTGTGGAAATTTTAAGATTAATGTCTTGTTCTAATTCTATAAAGAAAAATAGGATTTCAATAAAATAAATAGTATCGATTCGTAACACAGAAGTTCATATATTTGCAACAAAAAAAATACATGAATTTTTTTTATAGTTTTCACAACTTATTGAGGTTTCATGTTTACCTCGAAAATTACAATTTTTTACTACTCAAATTACATATTCAAATAAAACTATAACTTTAAATCAACCTAATTATAAATCATTTCATATACAAGACTAAACAAGCAGGGTTAAAGGACAATTATTAACTGTATTAGCTTATTCTGGAAAAGATTGAGTCATTTCACACCATGAAAGATTCCAAAAGGACATATCTGTTGATTTTGTTGTACACTGTCAAGTTTTCACTCAGAAAAACTCTACTATCAAACATATTTAAAACATAATCTCAACTTGCAAATATTTTCTTTAAAATATCAATTAATTCATGTCTTAACATGCCTTTATCAGTACAAAATATTTGAATTTGCCAGAAGTTAATTATATTTCATTACAGAAACTCCATCTGTAACCTCCTAATCAAATTTACATCAACCTATCTAAGTGTCGTCACTACTTGACTGTTCATCATTCATCAATAAAATAATCCCTTGCTTACAAACATGTCAATCGTACAGTCCTTCCAGCTCCCAAAAATCCATTAGGAAATCTACCATTTCCTGC